ATTGCCGTCGCTAAGTCGAACATTTTAGTCTTTGGCCGATGCCGCTATGTGTTCTCGTTTCAGTATGTAAAGTTTTTGTATTGTTTCTGTTGTTTAATAATATTTTAAGTCTGACTTCATTTCAATTTTTTTTCTTTTTCTTTCAATTTTAATTTTTTAAACTTATTTTAGTAAACATACTTCCAGCGTAAATTTCCGTAAGTAAATTACGCTTTTTATTTAAGTAGCGTTCTTCTTTGTTGTTATATATATATATATATATATATATATATATATATATATATGCGTGTGTGTATGTAGGTATATGTGAGTGTGTGTGTGCGCGCGTTTATATGTGCGTGTGTATGTAGGTATATATGTGTGTGCGTGTGTATATGCGTGCGTGTATGTGTGTGTATATATGCGTGTGTATGTGTATATATGTGCGCGCAGGTATATGCATATGCAAGAATCTTATTGGCTGATTACATATGTCTCCATTTTTTTCTTATGCGAACCCCCAGTTTATGTCCACCTGCTATTGGTCATTGCGACATGAGTTAAAACTTAGTATGATCAATACCATTTCCGTATCCCTATGTTGCCTGAATGCAATACTGAGGAATTTTTAAACATCTAAATATACGCCCCTCCCGCGTTTCCTGGGCTAGTGCGAGCTCTTTAGTCTTGGCCGACAGTCTTCCTAGAACTGGTATCCTGGACAAAATTACCCCTTTGCGGTCAAGGATAAAATGAGAAGAATTACAAATTTTAATGCTTACAAACAAATCCTCATACTGGATCGACCCTCACTTGGGTTAACGAGGGCTGCGTTCGTGAGAGAGGAACAAATCTGGTGCCGAAGAATCTGTCACTAGAACAAACTCTTCAATGAACGATGAAACACTTGGTAACCAAACTCGGACTATTTCCAATCTTGGACCAAGTAACTCGGTACCAAATCACTTAATAAAAAGAAAGTGAAGGAAATGGACTCGCTAAAAGTATCAAGAAGTCCTGACATCCTTTTTCACCGCACTCGAATATCCACAGAATAACATCACGGATCAGACATACCATATATGGAGAAATATGGTAGGAACTGATAAAAACCCTATCTCAACCCAAATACGTTTGCTAATGTTCGCAGGGATATCGTCCAAAATAAAAGATTCACAAATGCAGAAATAGATCAGATCAAATTAAATATAAGAGAGAATACTATAACCCAACACTCAAACAATAAAGAGATGAGACTGGAAATAAATAATATGACAGAGAATGAGGTAAAAACTAAAATATATGAGATGCGAAGTAATAATCTCTCAAGGAATAAAACTGAAGAATCTACCTACGACATAAACTGAATATGTCATTGAAGATGACCTTACCTGATAATGTCAATGAAGATGAGTCAAACGACATTAGGGAAAAAACCTTGAGAACAACAGAGGCGAAATCATCGATGCGAAAAACCACATCATTCAAGTACGAAGCAGAATAACTCTCGCACAAATGTCAGACAGAGACCAGCTCCCAAAAATCCATACGATAAAATCTGGTAAACATTGTTCAAATATGCAACACTGCACTGCAAACCAAGTTAACGGACAAACTACTGGGCGACATCACAAGTAAATAATGTCATATAACCAACAGCTTTACTAGCAACTGGGGAGCTTCGGATCAAGACAATGAAATGATCAAACAATAGACAAAGAGAACCAGCTTAGAGGACAAAACCGATGCGAGAAATAAGGGAAATCAGATGTGAGTTATCAGTACTAGATGATATCTCCATAAACCCTAATATCTCAACACGCAAATGTTGAAAGATCAAGCAGAGACATAAAATTAAATTGCTAAATATCATTCCACCAATCAAGGAAACACTGAAACAGAAACTGCACTTAAGGCACAGAGAACAAGACGATACGAAAAACGTTGTAGGTTCTATCGACAAAGGAAGCTTTTCCAAACGGACCTTAAGTAATTTTACAAGGAAATTGGAAAAACAATTATACATCCCAAAAAGCCACTCTCTATTGAAAAAGTGCAGAAATTTTGGAAGACTATTTGAAGCAGCCCAAATGAATATAACCCAATGCAGAGTGGATTGAACGGGAAGATAAAGGAATGCTGGGTAAATCTCTACAAGAATGTGAAAATATAACTAAGACTAATGTTAGGCAAACTCTAACGAAATCCAAAAAATGGAAATCTCCAGGAAATGAAAAGGAACCCAATTTGTCATCAATCCATAAAATACTAGCACAAACTTTATCAATGCTTATTAGTAATCCCAATGAAGTCTCTAAATGGATCACTGAATGTATTACGTATCCTATGCCAAAGACGCGTGAAACAGATGACCCGAAAAATTATAGGCCAATAACATCACATATAAATTGATCAAGTCCGTCTTGACGAACTGTACTTACTCTTTTCACGTAGAAAACATTCTTTCCCTGGAACAGAAGGAATATAAGAGATGTTCATATGGTTGCAATGACCAACTACTGATAAGCAAAACTATGCTGAAAAACTGCAGAAAAAGAGATAGATGTCTCAGCACAGCATGGATAAACTACCATAAATCCTTGGATAGTGTTTCTAGATCCTTAAGACTCCTCATTAATAGTAGATTTCCTTAAACACAGTATAGGAATGTGAAAAACCAGATTATACCTAAATCACACTAAAGGTACAGCCACTTCCAATCGTTTGAAAAGTCGACAAGGTATCTTTCAAGAAGACTCCCTATCACACACTTCTGTTTTGTCTGTCCTTAATCCCCCTTACACATAAACTAAACAATAATAGCTATGAATCTTTATCTATAAAAGGCAGGATGGGTGTGTGTGTGTGTGGGTGTGTGTAACGAATGCACGGCCGGAATTTTTGACGGATTTGAACCAAAATTTACATACACATGCTCTGAGTTAGCGGAAAGGCCAAGATCGACTTTACCTTTCCCAACTCCCATCGATAGTGGAAATAATAGATTTTTTCATGCTTCTACAACAGTTTTCATGTAGTTTGCGGCCATTTTGTACTGGCCTGAGTGAGAGTCTATAGCTGGCTGCCACGAATAGGCAGGAAGAGTTTATTGGCCAGCGTGAGAGCCAACAGCTGACTGACACGAATGTTAACTAGCATGCTAGCATGAAAAAAAATCGATAGCTGCATTCGTCACAAGTGGGAAAAATTTAAATCTGCATGGCACTTTACTCCAATTGGCTCATTCGCTTGCTTAAACTCAACGTTGATTCTGATTCCGCAGAACTGGGTTGGGTATGAAAAAGTATTTGTTGTTAACATTCTTTTTTTCATTCGGTTTTTCCAGTTGCGAGTCCTTTTTTACAGTTGATCGTTTTGTGTTCATTTTGTTTAGTTCTTTTTTCGTAACAGATTTAATGTTTAGTATAGAGCTCATAAAAAATTCGTGTGAGATAGGCAAGAAGTAAGGCATGTAGCAACATCAGCACGGCAAAGGGCACTCCTTTAAAGGTAAGGAAGGGCAAAAATATTTTCAGTCAAGTGATAGCGATTGCTGTATGAGTCGTACGATTTTTGAATCAAGCACGGGCAACGCCGGGCCATGCTGCTAGTTTAGATATATTGAAACAGCAGTATGAATGGTCCTGACTTGGCGTGTCAGCTTCATTCACTTTCCCACCGATGTAATGTAGCTTTCATGTGCCATTTCTATAAATAATTTCATGGTCATTTTGCGATTGAAATCCTCGCTGTGGTGCCTAGACTTTATAAATTTAAGTGCAGTACTAGATTGACAACAAGGTCTCATCAATTTACAGTTGAATTGGCAATCAATTCTATGCTAAGAGTTTCCATTCTTGCACTTCTCACTTATGGAACTCTTTCGACTCATTGCTTTCCATTCAAATGTACTTTTCAAAAATTAAAATCCAATGACAATCGTTATCTACTGTCTTCATAATTACTCCTCTTCTGTTCTCGCTACTTAATAATCTTTCTTCTTATTCGTTTAAACTCCGTAATCTCTTGTGTCTTATTGGCTTTACAAGTCTTCGTGAAATGATTTTAAAAATGACGACATAACTAAAGCGAGTTATGTCACGTTTAGATACACGAAATATACTCAATCGGAGACTGTCTGAGGAGACTAGGTTAGTCAAAGTTATTTCTTACTTGACTCACCTGTAATGTTATGTGCTGCTTTTAATAACACTAGTCACCATATAGCGCATATATGGTTGTGTTTTTCATATACTTGGTAAAGCATTATCAGACGGCTCCCCGTATGTGTGTGTTTTTAGTTTCCATGTAGAACACATTAAGTTGATTTGCTGCTCACTCAATCAGTATTAATAATGGAAGTTTATCAAAGTCCGAGGAAGACGCGTATGTGTGCCACAAAAAAAAAAAACGTTTGTGCACACGCGGATGCAGAGATACAATTGTAGGTAGAGAAAGGGAAACAGAATTTTGTGGGCAGGAGCAAACACCTTCTTAGCTTAGTTTTCTTAGCTCACCTTAAGGCGCTATATGTTCTAGATGTCTTTGAAGTATAGTATATACGCTAGTGAATAAGGTTTCATATTGTTGCATTATTTACACATGGATATTCTTAAAAACAGCATTTTGTGGAAGACTAAAGTTATCTTACTTATATATGCACACACACACACACATATATATATATATATATATATATATATATATAAACAACACAAGTACACATAAAGTGCTCCAGACCAGCTGCAATTTACAGCTGAGCGCCGTGCTTAAGCAAACTTTCGGCCCATTAAGCTCAATACCTCTCCACACGCTTGGCCCGCAACAGCTGGATGATGTTACGTTGTAACCGGTCTATGTTAGTAGGATGAAACTCGATAAGAATTTTTGGTTAATCCATACACTTCCTTCCACCGCTTTTTCACCACAAGTCTTTATCACCTTATCCGGCTTTTGGATCCCAGCACACTTGAGGAATCTCTTTAAAGAGGCAGCAGAAAATCCTCTACAGCCAACCTCAAATGGCACCAGTGTGCAACCATAGCCTCTCTCACGGACTTCAGCCACCAGTTCCTCATACCGAAGCAACTTTCTTTCATGAGCCTCTTCAATCCCTTCTTCCCATGCCACTGTCAGTTCACCAAGTAACAGATGTTGTGTCTGGATATCAATTAAGACCAGATCTGGTCTCAGACCAGACACAATGACCTCCACTGGCAGTGTAGCATCAACCAACACTTTCCACTTCCTTGAGTTTTCCGACCTGGTCTTCTGCCTTGTGACAGTCGCACCTTGCTTCAGGAGGGCTACCCTTCACAGGTCCAACGTGGGTATGCTAGCATTTCCTGTAGCTGCTGCCACGACCTCCAGAACAAGGTTATGTCTGAAGGTGTACCAGTCATTCTGTAGCGCCTTCGGACAGGCTGACAGTATGTGGCGCTGGTTTCCATAAGCACAACACAACCGGCAGGAGGGTGACTCCTGCACTCCCCATCTCTTCAAATTTGCGGGTGATGCTGCCATATCATATGCTGCCTGTATGAGGAACCTCAAATGTCCTGCGCCTAGACGCCACCAATCAGACCAAATTATCTGAACATCCTCAATATCCTCCCAGTTACGCCATCGACCCTGCTGAGTCTGCTGAGCATTTCGAACCCCCTGTACCTGTAACTTGCGTTGCTCCTGTCTACTGGCCTCTAACCAGAATCTCTCTCTCTCAACTAGACCAAGTCCAGCATGTCCCTTCTTTGTAACACCTTGAATTTCTGCCTGCTTTACCGTCACATCCACTGCTGACATCACGTCTGACACTTTCCACTTTTTTCCGGATTACAGCATCCCTAGATTCACACCGCATAGACTGAAATCTCACCTTTGCCACCTTGTACTCCTCCACCAAAGAAGTAAGAGGTAACTGAAGAATGCTGCCATATAAAGCGACAGGTGACAGAATCCTTGAAACACCAAGCCACTTCCCTATGCATTTACTAATTTTTTCTCAATTATCTCAACTCTAGACAGTGTCACCTCATATATAGTCTGCGGCCACATTAATCTAGGCATCAAGGCAAAATGCATAACCAACACTTTAAATTTTCCAGGAAGCCCATATTGGTCTATTCTTCACAGGCCCACCTCCGCTTGTTACTGGATTTCAATCCCACGATGAAGATCTGTCACAGGGAAGTTATACCACCTCCCAAGACTTCACAACTTGCTCCCGCACTGTTGATATCTCTTTACCTGCGATGGAAAACGCTTCATGTATGACAGAACCTCCCTTCATAGAGAGTGACCTGCTTTCTTCGGTTTGAAGACCATCTGACTCCATTCTACCATTTCTGCAAGACTTTCCAGAACCACTGTGCTACTTTCATATCATCTTGAATTATCGTCAAATCATCCATAAATGCTCGGATTTTGACCTCATTCTGCAGGAAGCGGTACTCTTGCATCAGACCTCTCAAGATCACCTCCATCACCACCACAAACAGTACTGGAGAGATGGAACATCCCATAGCAATTCACCTTTGCAGCTCCACATACATTGTAGTGTACTTCGTCGTCGAATAACGCAGTATGAACTGATTGAAGTACACAGCCAGACAATCCCTGAGTCTCTGCGGAACATAGAAGAACTCCAATGCCAACTGTATCATGCTATGCGGAACTGAACCATATGCATTAGCAAGATCTAGCCAGATGACGTGCATATTCTTCCTTTCAATTTGAGACTCACGGATCTTTGCCCAAATCATTGATACATGTTCCAAGCAACCTAGAAACCCCAGGACTCCTGCCTTTTGAATACTAGTGTCTATATAGTAATTCCTAAGCAGGTAACCCGTCAGCCTCCTGGCAAACATCTTAAAAAACACCTTCCCTTCAACGTTCGGCAGATATATTGTGCGAACCTGACTAAGTATCAACGAATTCTCCTCCTTCGGTATATACACGCCATCAGCTCGACACCAACAGTCAGGAATATCACCAACTTCCCAAATCTTCACAAGAAGCCTCCACAAACACCTCATCAGCCTGGGACATCTCTTGTATACAGCATATGTCACCCCATTAGGACCACCCGCAGAACACGTTCCGTACAACATCTTGGAGCTCCATCCAAGTCACTGGAGACTTATCAAAAGCTACTTCCAGGGTGCCAGGCCTGAATAAACCTGACATCACCGCGGCTGGGTCCTCCCTGCTGGTATCCGAGTACGTGCTTATACGATTTCTCTCCAGCTCCTCCTGCTCAACATATACAACCCTCCGCTAGTCTTCTCCCTAAACAACTGCTTCGGGAAGCGGAACGGACTTTCCTTGAATGACTTCCTGGCTTTAGCAGCCTTCTGTCTCTTTTTTGGCAAGCCGTCCGCCGTGTGTTCGTATGTATACTATTACATTATTATAAATGATGTTGTTTGACAGGTCATGACTGGCAGTTTCATGTCAGTTGAAAAGTATTGTTATCAGGCGAACGACATAAACTGTTGAGTTTCGAGCGCATTTATTCTCACTCTGTTGAACTCTCGGGTGGTCAGTATGCACACACGAAGCCTACATACGTACCGAAATTACACAATGCGGAATACAAATGCCTGTTAAAACACGGTATATCTAAGCATTGCTAATGACGATGTTAAGTTCAACTTTACCGGAGAAAAAACCTACAGCTAAAGCATCAAAAATATGTCAGAATTACATCTATGCTGCCAGATAAAGCAATTTTCGTTTAATTCTGTTTCTCTATTTAAATCTATTTAAATATATATATATATATATATATATATATATATATATAAAATATAATAAAATAATAAAAGGCTTAAAACACTAATATACCATGGTCATAATTTATTCCATTGGAATCGTAAATACGATCCAATTCATCAGACCAACAAAAAGAAAACAGAAAAAACAACTCCGTAAATAAAAAATAGAATTTAGAGAGAGTGTAAGTATGAGTATCTATCTATATATATATATATATATATATATATATATATATATATATATATATATACCAGTTGCGTTGGATTGTCGTCTAAATTACGCGAAAATGAAAATAATACTGAAATCTAATTTTAATAGATATATTTATCAAAATTACACAAAAATATCTTGAAATACTGAAGAGTAAATTTATCCAATAAAATTGACATTGGTTTAACTCAGGCCTCAAGTGACTTCGGAATCTCCTGCAACTCTTCTAGACGGTCTATTTAGTGAATGCTGCTATAATCTCTGAATTCCGTTCATCTTTGGTGTCACAAGGAATTTTATTGCTCTCTCACTCAACTGCACCCTGCACGTAGGGGGTTGCAGTCTCGGGAGTTAGGTGACCAGATGTAAGAGGTGATGTGGTCGCAGAAATTGTATGACAACCATTACTGTGTTCCCCTGCTTGTGTGGCATGGTGTCAGACATATGGTCTTCCAGAAACCACCCTACTAGTCAGAATTACCTCCTCAAGGCACTTGATGTAGGCCTTCGTTTCGATTCAGTGTGGGAAGATGAATGGAGGTATAACATCGCTATAACCTGGGATCACTCAAAACACCTTCATAATGACTATTAGACTCTTTCCGAATCTTCTGCACTGTCCTCATATTGACACAAAAAAAAAACTCTGAAATATCCGTATTGGAGCTTCCGGCGTGAAAGCCAAGCAGTACAGGGTGCCGTTTCCAAATTTCTGGCAGAGCGAATTTTGTCATCCTGGTCTTTTTTCTCACAGACGGTATCCAACTGATCCTACTATACGGGGCAGTCGACAAATAAAAAAACAAAAAAAAACGCACATGCGCGAAATTAAAAATATAAAATGACGAAAATTTGCCTATCGCTCTCTTAATGGAATGAGAAATTAGCCACTTATAGTCTTCCATAGTTTACCTTCTCTTGACACAGTAAGTTCTGTGATTATTAATTTTCTGATTATCACTTGTTTAGGGATTAACATTACAATTTAGATGGCCTTAGGTTGACATCAAGGGAAGAAATTAAACATGAGTTGGTCTCGTATTTTAAATTAAAACCTAAAGCATTTTGTCAACACGGCATCTATAAAGTTGTTGACCGATGGAATGAGATTCTAGGTTATTTTGATAAGGCAATGCACGTTATATTGATGACTTAATGTTTCTATAAGTATTAGTATTTTTCTTTTTAATACACTCGATAAAATTGGACAGAACTTTCGTTCTAGCATGAAACAAATATCTAGAATAGTGACCGTTCAAGATAGCTTTCATTGCGCGATTTAATAATAAAAAAACTAGGTTATTTTGATAAGACAATGCACGTTATATTGATGACAATGTTTCTATAAGTATTAGTATTTTTCTTTTTAATACACTCGATAAAATTGGACAGAACTTTCGTTCTAGCATGAAACAAATATCTAGAATAGTGGCCGTTCAAGATAGCTTTCATTGCGCGATTTGATAAGAATCAAAAAACTAAAACCCTGAAGAAATACAACATACGAAACACTGCCAAACGTTTTCTAGATAACTAAAGCAACACCCCGGGCTTCGTCATTCTTATCTAAAACTTGACAGTCTCTCAATAATAGCCGACAACTCATCGGTGGTTGGCCTGGAGAATCGAAAGCCATATTGTTTCTCTCAAAAAAGATTATGCTAGTTGAGATGCTGAATCAATTCAGAGTTTATTAGAACATATAATACTTTGCCAAAAAGAGAAGTAGACATCTAATAGGTCGATACATCGAAGGATCAGCCGGTTTGCCAGATTTCTTAAAAACAGGAACTAGAGAGTAAGGTTTTTAACAAGCTAGAAAGCAAGAAGCAATAAAGCATCTATTACTGGGCTTGGAGAAAACAGGGGGTGCATTTAAGGATCACATTTCTAACGCACAATTGCAGGCGTATCATCGAACCCGCATACATTGTGAGGATCAATTTTGGAGGTGATAGTGGAAAACATGGATGGAGTTATATGCATATCACACAACAGAGACTGACTATGAAGTGGAAAGTCATGTACTTCTAATGGGTCGAATATAGAATTGGAAGAGAATTTACGAACAAAGCATTATCTTTGTTTTTCAACAGAAGATAATAACGCTAAAGATGGGAGGAATTCAGTATGTATCCTTATTTAGCACAACTTTACACAATCGGCAATAGTAACGAGAATCAAATCTGTTAGAAGCTATACTGTGTCTCACTCAATCAGCGAACAACGACTTACCTCCATTGAGGACATGTTTGCAGTCATTACGAGCGGACACAAACATGCATATGTTGCGGTCAGAGCTATCATGTTGGTATACCCTGAGAAAGGTGATCTATGTGACTGAACAGGTCGGTTTGAATCAATGATAACATTGTGGTTTTATCTAGTACTAGGAGTAGAGCCCGGCGTTGCCCGGGGATGTAACAGTAAGAGATAGATCAAGTATCGACCATCGTAAAGACTGAAAATTAAAATTGACAAAGATTATTGTTTATGGTTGACGAACACGCATGTCTTAATTAGTTTTTTTGTTTTGTTTTGTTTTTTCTTTTTTACGAAACAAAAACATTGTTTTCAATCGTTATGAGTCTACTGATTGAATAGAATTTTTAATTTTATTATAAACAATTGTCTTGTAAATGGAATTTTTAAAGCATTCTGAATGTAAAAATAAAGAAAAAAGTGTGCAAGACAATAAGAAACACTACCTGCCAAAAAAAAAGTTTTGTTGAAATCGGTTGAAAAATGTAGGAAACCCGATCCCATATATAAACGAACACACACGCGCGCGCGCGCACACACACACACACACACACACACACAAACAACCTGGGTTTTATAATAAGTATAACTCGATATGAGTTGTCTCCCTTTCATTCTCTAAAGAGCGATGCCTCTTAATCGTGTTTTCAAATTGATTTCGTGCAAAAACAGTTGTTTTTTTCAATTTTTGGCGCTCTCAGAACCACCGCAAGGTAATTTTACGTAGTCGTGTGAAGAAATCGGTTGAAAAATGTAGGAAATCCGATCCAATATATAAACGAACAGACACACACACACACACAACCTGGGTTTTATAATAAGTATGATTTAGGAGATGGCATAAAAGCCTCAATGACAGCTTCCAACCAAAACGAAACCTCAGAGGTTTATATTTGGACATGCGCTTATGTGCAAATGTCTGGTGAATATATCGCGTGAGGAGGTATTCTCCATCTCAATTCCATTATATGCCATGAAGTAGTATAATATTCTGGACTCTTAAATAGAACTTTTTTATTCAGTTGTTCAGACTTTGAATTTAATATTATGAATGAAGAGTTACACTAGAATTCATCAATCCTGTTACGTATTAGAGGCAAATATGAAAGGGTATCTCCCCATAGATATGCCGTCACGCGACACGTCAGTATATCGCCGAATTCAGAATTCGTTCTGATATTAATTTGATGGCGGCATTGATACCTGGATGTGAAATGTTATGTAGATCATCAAAATTTTCACGTTGCAATTGCTTGTCGGATATAACAGTTTTCCGTGAGAGGTTATTGAATACAAAACTGCACACCATGGCACACAAATCGAAATGAAAGCTCACAAATCAACACATGTGCCACCATTTTACACAACTGTATACATGTCTTCAAGAAGGACTGTAAATCAGATTTTTTTTTCCAAACCTACGATAAAGGACCGTCCACTATCTTCTCCACATTCTACCGAATAAATGCAACAACATTTTTCGCAAAAATTCATATTTTCTGTTGGTGCACTAACAGTCTTGTTTTTTTTTTTTTTTTGGGCGGGGGGGGTATTGTTTTTCTGTTGAGTGAAGCAATTTTCCTGCTTCAATCCCTATCTTGATCTGGTTTCCCTTTCTGATATGACCCTGTTCAGTTTGGAATCCGTTTTACAATATTTTAATTGATTAAACCAAGTTTTTAAGCTAATTCCAACGTTGACTGAATGGAGTTAACATCAAAAACAACTCGAAAGTCATCACTTTCAAATTCCAATTGTCTAACATTGCGAGAAGTTTCCTCCAAGCCAAATTGATTTTTCTTGAACTTTCTTATTAACGACACGTCGGCTCAGCTGTGAGTTAATGAGTCTAGTCTAGTCTAGTAGAGTGTTTGATCCTCACTGGTACTCGAGTAAAAAATTCGACATGAAATAAATCACCATAGTTTGACATGATTGCAGAATCAACTAAATGTTGTTTTACTGCACCTACTGCTTCCAATCGAATCATTTTCATAGGTTTTATCGATCATCATCATCGCTTTTTCTGTTACTGTGTCCAACTTGAAATGATATATGCAGCACGTATTTCTTATCTAAGGTTATCGTCTGTATCTCAACGCAGGATGAGAACTGAATACAAAATGTTTACAACAGATTTTCAAATGTGTATTCAGTCTCTATCTTTCCAAAATAAGGAC